TTTTTTTTTTTTTGTCATCAGGCTTTTTGGCACTTACATAAATGATTGAGCAGAAAATAAAAGAAAATGGTGAACATTTCTGTATTTTAGTTCGCTACTTTTTGAACGCAAAATGAAACCGGTCTAGATGGGAAAGTCTAGACCGCGGTCAATATCGATTTCAGCCAATCAAATTCGTGAATTCGGTAGTTCCCAGTCCTTCTGAGACAGAGCCATATAATAATAAGTAGTTAATACTGATAACTTACATCTGGTCCTTGAAAACCATAACCTCCTGGATCGCCATCAGAACCCATGTCCCCCTTGCGGGAAAGACAAACAAAAGAAGTCCGTGTAAACAAAATTACTTTACAATATAGGAAAATTAGCAGTCCTTTGACTTTCTAGATAAAAGTACGTCACATTTTGCATTTTCTCTTTTTTTTTATGATGTGACTTGGGCACGGAGTATGATTTTTATGATATATAATCCATCATAGCTTATCTTATGACATGTTTCCGCAGAACTGTAGCAGCTTGTAATCTAGCGTTTACAACAAATTATTTCCAGACATTCGGTAACGATCATAGACTTCAGTAGGTAGGTAAAAGAAAGAGAGTCTTGTAATTCTTTTGCTTGTTAGCAGCTGTTATTGTTTTGGGGCTCAGAGGAGGCATTGTTTCTGTTGTTTGTTCTATTGTTCTCTTAAAGGGTATCAAGCCGTTCACGAAAGACCTTACGAGAACTGCTACCCGACCCTTTCTTCAACGTTTCCTGTCTAAGTCTCTACCTCAGAAATAAGCAATACAGAGACGCAAGGCTTTCGGAACTCAAAAGCGCCATATATATAATAAGATGCTACACGATTTCTATGTGTTCACTCAGCAAGCCGTATTCCCTCAGAACATCATGACTTACCGATTCTCCAGGGAGCCCGCGTTCACCCCTTTCTCCGGCATCCCCTAACATTCCAAATTCTCCTATTCTTCCCGTAGCACCCGTAGAGCCATTATTACCTCGATCGCCCTGTAAACAGAATACACATAAATGTCATGAATTTAACTTCCCCACCCTCTCGCTCTTTTTAAATTTAAAAAAAAAAAAACTTGAAACGATATGCTAAAAGTAAAGTTTACCGGTTCCCCAAGGAGTCCAGTTTCCCCAGGGATTCCGTCCATTCCAGGTCTACCCTGCAAGAATAAATTTATTTCTCAACGAGTGATTTTGTTGAATTGTTAAAGTATCATCAGTGGATTGCATTAATTACACAAAGAGTTTGTTCTCTTTCGTGCATGGAGGTGGAGGTTCGATCGCAGTTGCTTAGTCAACTACAAAATCAAATGTAGACTCGGCGGCAGCGCTCTCGGCTCTGCTCTCCGTTCCTCCTGAATATCGGCTCATAATCCAGAAAGGCTACTGATAATCAAGTCTAACCAAATCCTACCGAACTCTTCCCGCATCTACATTTTAAAAACTTACTAATACTCCTGAACGACCGTCCAGCCCCGGTTTCCCTCTTTCACCCGGGAAGCCCTGTCAAAAGAGAAAGAAAAAAATCGCACATATATTGTGTTAAGCAATAACTAATTATTTTCTAGCGTTTACAACAAATTATTTCCAGACATTCGGTAACGATCATAGACTTCAGTAGGTAGGTAGAAGAAAGAGAGTCAGCCAAATGTTAGGTTTTCGTCAAAGCCACGCTATTAAGAAATTAATTGTCACCTATTCAGTTGTCTGATAAGAAGCATTACCGGAAGCAACACAGGATGACAGGGATTACAGCAATAAGCAGGACAGGCAGACAGTGATTGCGTCAAGAAGCAAGACAGGCAGACAGTGATTGCATCAAGAAGCAAGACAGGCAGACAGGGATTGTATCAAGAAGCAAGGCAAGCAGAGAAGGTTTGCATCAAGAAGCAAGACAGGCAGACAGTGATTGCATCAAGGAGCAAGACAGGCAGACAGTGTGCATCAAGAAGCAAGACAGGCAGACAGTGATTGCATTAAGAAGCAAGACAGGCAGACAGGGATTGCATCAAGAAGCAAGACAGGCAGGCAGTGATTGCATCAAGGAGCAAGACAGGCAGACAGTGATTGCATCAAGATGCAAGACAGGCAGGCAGTGATTGCATCAAGTAGCAAGACAGGCAGGCAGTGATTGCATCAAGAAGCAAGACAGGCAGACAGTGATTACATCAGGAAGCAAGACAGGCAGACAGTGATTGCATCAAGATGCAAGACAGGCAGACAGTGATTGCATCAAGTAGCAAGACAGGCAGACAGTGATTGCATCAAGAAGCAAGACAGGCAGATAGGGACTACAGCAATAAGCAAGACAGGCAGACAGTGATTGCATCAAGAAGGAAGACAGGCAGACAGTGATTGAGCTGTGATTGTGAGAAGCAAGACAGATAGACAGTGATTGAATCAAGACAGGTATACAACTCACCCTTAGACCAGGTTCTCCTTCCGCACCATCTGCTCCATCCGGGCCGCGGTCACCCTTGAATAAAGAAACAATTATTTTTAAAATTAAATTAATTTTCCGTTGAAATAGTCTTGCCGCCAAAATGGTCAAACGTGGTCTATTTAAAAAGTGTCCAACTAATACCTTACCAATTCACCGTCTTCTCCACGAGATCCAACGGCTCCAATTAGACCATTCCATCCCTGTACAGGTACAAAGAGACCACAAAGAAACAAACAGTTTTCGTAGAAACAAAGATGTCGTTAAGCTGCGTACTTTGGAAATCAACGCTAATTTATAAGTGAATGCCTCAATCATGCTTCTGTACTCTCTGATGGTTCTCAACCGGTCAAATCGTACTGCTATAAGATAATAGTGTAAATCTACTAGCGTTCTACCACGAATGCCGTTCTCTGATTGGCTACGTTACTCACTATCTATTCTTGGTTTTCACCAGTCATGTGATCAAAACTAAAAATCGTAACCATTCAATAAATAAATTCAAGAATCTAGGATATGATAGATGATTGCTATATAAACAACCTCGCCAAGAATCAGGTTTCTACTGTTGTTCATTCGCCCGTTATTCGCAGAAGCGTGTCATCCAAATTTATAGAGCTTTGTATGGAGACGCCATGTTTGTGCCCTTCGGAGGGGCACAAAC